CGAGTAAGCAGTAATATGAGATACTACGTTTAGATGCTTTACCTTTATGGTATTGTGGCAAAAACCTGAGTTACTGAACAGGAAAATGTTGTGTAATGCACTCACATTTATATTAGCATAACAAGTGATTAGTATAGTGGTTTTGTGGTGCATGCTACTTATGTTGACAGATATAAGTAGTGCACAACACCAATCGGAAGTGGAATGCCCGAAAGAAGAAGCTTCAGAAGATTGAATTGAAGCGAACAGGAATGTAAAAAGAGAGCAATTGCAATAACAACATAATTGAAATAATCATAATATATGTAAAGGACAATGCAAAGAAGATGTGAAAATAACATATTTTGATATATAATTTTCATATTTGATGAACACACTCCGTAATTGTACACTAAACAATAAATTAGTCATTCCTACCTGACTTCTTTTCCCATACAGTCACACGATAATTCCTTGAGATTTAATGGTCATCTGTGACAAGTGGAGCTCAAATCCTGTAGGCATAATATTTCTACCGACCTAGCGGAATTAAGTGGACGATATTGCCGCTTGGTTAGAAATGTTAGAAATATTTTCATAGAGTTTTGTTCTCTGAGTTGGATGGTTTAGTCGTAGAGCTTCCATCTCTCCTCTAAATGACATCATCAGCACAAATTTCAGGTAGAAATATTTACGTATGTATGATAGTTCAGCGGTTTAAAAGTTAAGTGCTCACTAAAAGACTCGTAGATTATTGATTTAATCATCGATGGGTATTTGTTCACATATTTCTGAAGAGTACCATACTAGAATTACGAAACTGGTCAACTAAGATTGGTCCGTGATGAAAACTTTCAGAATTTATCTCCAACTCTATTAACAGTATTGTTACCCATTGTTAAACGAACTGTATTTCATTTTGATTGACATCATGAATCAGTTGATGTTAACCCCTGCCATTGAAAACCTAGAAGCACTGGACGGCCGTTTCATCCTATTGTCGGACTCTTCAACAGTACGCATCCATGATCCCGCTTACCGGATCACCAACTGATTCATGATCTTAAACCACTTCATGTTTATTGTTTGTTCTAATTTCGCTAACATTCTGGTATCCATTTGGTTTTTTTAATTTTATAGATTGATATGTTCCGGGATATTTGTCGTGGTCTTTCAATTGATTGTAATGAAATGAAATTTTATGAAGGTAAACCTGGACCTCCAGGTAAAAGTTAATTATTGAATATTATGAACATTTTTAAACTCATTTTATCATTTTATATTTGGTGATGATATAATAAGGATACTTCAGTAAAGTATAATTACTTGAGATCACAATCTGATATAGGACTCAGTAGCTAAGTAGATAACGCGATGGCATTTGAAGCGAACGGTACTGAGTTCGAGTCCCAGAGTGAACATCAACTCTGGGATGCAGGTACATCCGGCTGACGAGTCCCAAACAGGACGAAACGCGCGTCCTGGATTCCACTGCTAGCCAATCTGATATAACTAAGACAACTATTGAAAACTTGGAAACACTGAATGGAATTATCGTCATAGTATGGTACTCTTCAGTGGTTCATATCTATGAATTTGAAATCAGAAATCAAACTAAGAATCTTTAGTCTCATGCTTGAACATTTCAACTATGAATTAATAAGCTGGAATCTGGCTGTGCAAAAGTTCATCTTCAAATCCATCCACGATATTCTATGGCCATCATTCACTGTCCTCTGTAATTCTCATCCTAACATTCCATTTATTATGGATTCTTATTCCATAACTCCATACTGTTGATTACCATGCGTCAACTCGTGATTGATTTTAAGAGGGCGTTTACAAACTTTTATCAGGAACTTGTGATCAGTGAAGTTCAACCACTTATACACATCTTGATGTAATGTTACTTATGTTTGTTACCTTTCGTCAAGAAGCATAAGCTGCCAACCAGCATTCTTCATCCAACCATATCCTGGGAAGTCCTTTCCAATTCGTTCCAGTTGTTATTCATCCTTTTCATAACTGCTTACAATTTTCGACGTAATGTGTTCTTTAACGTTTCTGTTTTCCATTTCCCTTCAAGATTCCGGGTTAGCGCTTACCTCGTGATGCAGTTTGATGATTTCCGCAGTGTTTTTTTTATTTACTTCCAATGTCTTTTTCTGACTACCTCTTCAATTGAAATTTGGTTTGTTCTCTTTCAAAGTAGGCTGTTGTTGATGGTACCCTACTCTAACGGACATTGAGTATCATGTGTAGACAACTGCTTATAAATACTTGTACCTTCACGATGATGGTTGTATTAGTTCTCGAAGTTTCAGCTCCACATAGTAGAAATATTTTGACATTCGTATTAAAGATTGTGACTTTGATATTGATTGACAGACAGTTGTTTTGAAATCCATATATTCTTCAATTGTAGGAATGCTGTCCTTCCTCTGTCAATCCTTACCTTAACATCTTCATTCAATTCTTCTTTTTCCTCGATGATACTACACAGATATATGAAAGTTTCTACCTGTTCCAGGTGGAAAACTGTTTCTCAATCAAATGTGATTGAGTTAGTGTTTTCCATGTTGTTATTCTACTAGTTGATATGGTGACTATCATAAAAAAAATTAACAGAAAACAGTTTTATTTTATTCAACAAAATTCAATTCATACAACAACAACAACAACAACAGTAACAACAACAAGAAAAAAGAGGAAAGTTTCCAAGAAAGAAAAAAAGATAAACTAATCAATTAGGTGAAAAGTTCGAAAAAAATGAGCGAAAAACAGAGAAAAAAGAGAAACTATTATCAACGAGAAAAACAAGAATAAAGAAAGAGATCAGTAGAATAGTCCAAATTAGAGATAATAATAATGATTATGTTTAAAAAAAAAGAGAGAGAAGAGAAAAAAGGAAAGCAAAAGTGATTCGGAACAAGGAACCATTTCTCTTTTATTGAACTAATCGATGTATTTATATCTAAATTAAATTAAATTGATCATTTATGGTAACGAGTAAATGAAGAAATAATAAATAGGTGGGGTGGGGTGGGATGGAGTTAGGGATGGTGGAATAAATCAATGAAAAGGGGTGAAAAGGATAAGTTTATTCTATTAAGGGATTATTTTCTTTCTTTTTTTTAAATTTTATTTATTCATGAAAATGTTTCTGTAATACTTTAATGTTTAAAAACATTTTCATAAGTGTTTATAACTTATCCACATTATTCGTCATGTAGGTTGCCGAGTTCATTCCTCCGTTCCTTCCTTCCTTCCTTCCTTCCTTCCTTCCTTCCTTCCTTACCTACTTACTTACTTACTTACTTACTTACTTACTTACTTACTTACTTACTTACTTACTTACTTACTTACTTACTTACTTACTTACTTACTTACTTACTTACTTACTTACTTACTTACTTACTTACTTACTTACTTACTTACTTACTTACTTACTTACTTACTTACTTACTTACTTACTTACTTACTTACTTACTTACTTACTTACTTACTTACTTACTTACTTACTTACTTACTTACTTACTTACTTACTTACTTACTTACTTACTTACTTACTTACTTACTTACTTACTTACTTACTTACTTACTTACTTACTTACTTACTTACTTACTTACTTACTTACTTACTTACTTACTGACTTACTTACTTACTTACTTACTTACTTACTTACTTACTTACTTACTTACTTACTTACTTACTTACTTACTTACTTACTTACTTACTTACTTACTTACTTACTTACTTACTTACTTACTTACTTACTTACTTACTTACTTACTTACTTACTTACTTACTTACTTACTTACTTACTTACTTACTTACTTACTTACTTACTTACTTACTTACTTACTTACTTACTTACTTACTTACTTACTTACTTACTTACTTACTTACTTACTTACTTACTTACTTACTTACTTACTTACTTACTTACTTACTTACTTACTTACTTACTTACTTACTTACTTACTTACTTACTTACTTACTTACTTACTTACTTACTTACTTACTTACTTACTTACTTACTTACTTACTTACTTACTTACTTACTTACTTACTTACTTACTTACTTACTTACTTACTTACTTACTTACTTACTTACTTACTTACTTACTTACTTACTTACTTACTTACTTACTTACTTACTTACTTACTTACTTACTTACTTACTTACTTACTTACTTACTTACTTACTTACTTACTTACTTACTTACTTACTTACTTACTTACTTACTTACTTACTTACTTACTTACTTACTTACTTACTTACTTACTTACTTACTTACTTACTTACTTACTTACTTACTTACTTACTTACTTACTTACTTACTTACTTACTTACTTACAATTGTTACTCCCAATAGAGTTTAGGCCACCGACCAGTATTCTCTAACCTGCTTTGTCCTGGGCCTTCCTTTCTAATTCTATTTAATTGTTGTTTATTCTTCTCATGTTTGTCTTCATTTCTCATCGTAATGTAATCTTTGGTCTTCATCTCTTTGTTTGGTCTTGTGGTTATGTAAGTTAGTAAGAATATACTTGGTGTAATACTAATTATGATATCACAATATATGTTTATATGTGTGTATGTATACTAAATGAATAACAGAGAGCGGTGAACGGTTAGTTTTTTCCGTTTGAGATCATGAATCGACTGATGTTAGATCGTCATTGAAAACCTAGAAGCACTGAACAGTCGTTAGATATTAACATTATTGTATGGTGGCTCAGTGGTTTAGAGGTTAAAAGTTCGTACGCGAGATCAAACGTCTTGTGTTTGAGTCCCGTAAAAGGAGATAGTTGATGCGCACTGATCAGGTGTCCCATACTAGGATGAAACTACCATACAGTCCTTTTAGGTTTTCACTGATGGTCTAATGTTGATCAATTCATGATCTCAATGAAAAACTTAACAATCTCCACAACCTCATACTGATAACGGCTAATTTATCAGCATAAATTTATGACTTTGACAAGGAGTCAGTTCATAGGTATTAAATGCATTATGGAGCATGACACTACTAAGTAAGTAAAGAGGAGTAGAACATCAACAGTAGTTTTCTAACAATAATCACTGAGCTGAAAAAAATCGAGGATTAACAGAAGTGTTCTTTAAGTTCTAGTAAGAAGTTCCGGAATTCAGTTGTACTGAAGGTGAGAAAGATGATATCTATGGCAAAGAAAATTACTTAAAAAAAGGATATACTGCAGAAAGGATCTAAACGCTCACGGTTCTATACCTAACAGTTCCACACTGCATAGGTACGGCAAAATCACGTCCTAAGTACTTCCTGCTTTACAAACAAACAAATTACGGCTTATTAATACATAACGTAATGATAATGACAATTAAAGAAAAGTGGCTTATCGATCGGACCAATGACGCATAAACGAAGTACGAGCAGTTTACAGTTATTATCGATCCTGCATCCTGCATAATACTGCCTGTTCAATCCACAACACAAACCAAAGCCTACAACACACCAATCATGTATTTCAAACATACTGGGTTAATGTACACCAGCAAAACAGATCACATCATACCATTAAATACAAAATATACATTTGTACAAGATCTAGACAAATGTGGTTGTGAATGTGCGAAACTGTAATGAATAGACTGGACATAAATAAAGAACAGTCAATCGTATCATAATCATCCATAAGTCAAAATAGGCCTTATAAAAGGAGGAACATGAATATGCAGATAGTTTAGTTATTTAACAATCATACAATAAACAGAAACAAGTATCGTATCGGTTCAGAAATAGTTCACAAACGTCATCATTCATTATTCTCATCGGGATATAACAAGATGTATTTGTAATTATAATAAGAACCGATGATCTCTGAACGATTTATCACGTCTAGTTACGGTCACAGACTAACAAGTTTCTACAGTTAAACATGATTTAACCGGTTTTCATAGTCCATTTCTCACACAGTGATGTTGTAACATCAACAACAACAGTAACAACAACAGAAATCTCAATAAACAGATTACACATTGAATCTTCATTGAATCAGATTACATTTTTATCAACATAGTTAACACTACACCAACTAGTTGTACATCATAATATACATTGAACACTATGAACTTAGTATACAAACCAGACTGATAATCATGAACAATTACTCTGCATTGATTAATTAATTAATCGATTACACTTTGATGTATGAATGTGTGTTTTGTCTGCCTCACTAATCACAGCAACAATTTCTAATCAAGTTTGGTTGGTAACTAACAGTGGAATTTCAAACGTCACCATTAAAATCAGGACAACATCAATATAAGCAAACAATATTGTTCTCAACAGTTGAGATCATGAGTCAAGTGAAACTAGACCTGTAAGCACTAGACGTCCGTTTCGTTTTAGTATGGGACTCCTCAGCAGTGTGCATCCACGATCCCGCCCCCTTCGAGATTCGAACTCAGGACCTATCAGTCTCGTGCGCGAGCGCTTAACCATCAGACCACTGAGATTCGTTAATAAGGTTCAGATTTCACTGTTGTCTATTAGTATAGAATTTCAAAGTGAAGGAAAAGAATTTTTACATTAACGTTTAAAGACTAATAATCTATTTATTCTTCTTCTACTAATAATGTGGTGTAAGCTACTTATTTATTCAGGGATAAGTAGTATGTAACTCCAATAGGAAGTGAAACAACTGGTGGCAGAAGATTGTGAACACCGAACCGAAGAGAATGGGATTGTAAGGAGAGATTAGTTGTAATAGTAATGAAGGGATGATAAAGTTTCTGACCATTGATGGAAGATTTGGATATGAAGTATTTAATGTATAGTTTTCACATTTTATGAAACCATCAAAGTTATCGTACTATTATTCACACTACTACTACTACTACTACTACTACTACTACTACTACTACTACTACTACTACTACTACTACTACTACTACTACTACTACTACTAGTACTACTACTACTACTACTACTACTACTACTACTACTACTACTACTACTACTACTACTACTACTACTACTACTACTACTACTACTACTACTATTACTATTACTATCGTAGTTATCACAGAAACATACTGTAGTATACTTACATCTATTCAAAAAGAATAAAACAATATATCTGTTTGTGGTAACCACCTAAATAAGTATAACTGAATCTCTAGTTTTTGATTATCCATATTGTAGAGAAATTACTTACGAACTTATTTACGCCTGTTTCACCTCGTGGATACGCATAAGCCGCCCACCAGCATTCTCCATCCAACCCTGTTCTGAGCAATCCTTTCCAGTTCTTTCCTGTTGTTATTCATTCTTTTCATAACTGCTTACAATTTCTGACGTAATGTGTTCTTTGGCCTTCCGCTTTTCCCCTTCCTCTCAAGATTCCATATTAGGGCTTGCCTCACGATACAGTTTGATGATTTCCGTAATGTATGTCCTATCCACTTACAACGTCTTTTCCTAATTTCTAGCTCAGCTGGAAGCTGGTTTGTTCTCTCCCACTGAAGGCTGTTGTTGATGGTATTCGGTCAATGGATGTTGAATATCTTGTGTAGACAACTATTCATAAATACTTGTACCTTCTTGATGATGGTTGTAATAGTTATCCAAGTTTTAGCTCTGTATAGTAGAACTGACTGTTTTGACGTTCATATTGAAGATTGTGACTTTGATATTGATTAACAGACAGTTATTTTGAGTTCCATATATTCTTCAATTATAAAAATGCAGCCTTTGCTTTGCTAGTCCTCGCCTTTACGTTTGCATCCGATCTTTCTTATTCATCGATCATTGTAGAATAAGAAAGTCAACCATATAAACCGGATAGATAAAGATTTGTAAATACAGTAGTTATCTTTTTCTTAATGAAATATATGCAAATAACTTTAAGTAGTTATCATTGTTGATATGTGTATATCTGTTTGAATAGAATGTAACCATCTATATTGAATGAGTTCCACTTCAAGTACCTACTATATTCATCAGAAAAGGATATCAAATAAGAAAGAAAGGAAGAAAGAAAGAGAAAGAAAAGAAGATAGAAGGCATGATAATTAAATCAAACTCATGATGGTCAAGTATCATCATCCAGAATGTTCTTATCTATAATATTGAAAGATTAAAGAGTTTTGTCTCTATTCATCCTTTTACTGCACCCCTTCACAATAGATACATATACATATATATGGATAGGATCAATCATCGTTTAGTTTTTTCCCCTCTTTTTATTACTTATCTTGTGTGATACGAAATGTACTATTCTTTAGATTACAATAATCATTTCAATGTGTTATTTCTAGTTTTTTTGATGGATGAGTTACATGATTTATTCGTGAAGCTTTCATCGTTCTTCTTGAACGACATCACAATCAGTATAAACTTCAGATAGAAGTTTGTTTCAATGGTTAAGATCATGGGTCAGTTGAAGCTAGACCACCGTGGAAAACCTGAAAGCACTGGATGGCCGTTTCGTCCTATTGTGGGATTCCTGTGGGACTCACTGAAGAGAATGATGAACATGTCGCTCAATTTCGTGGATTAGTTGAAGTTAGACATTAACACCGTTGGATGTCGGCCAGCTCAGCGGTCTAGTGGCTAAGTGCTCGCTCACAAAACCGGTAGGTCCTGGGTTCGAACCCCACGGGAGCGGGGTTGTGGATGCGCACTGCTGAGGAGTCTCACAATGGGATGAAACAACCTTCCAGTGCTTCCAGGTTTTCCATGGTGATCTAGCTTCAACTGACTCATGATCTTAACCATTGAAATTACTATAACATCCACAAAACGCATCAGAAGTTTGTTTGTTTGTTTTCCTACTTTTATTTTTTGGAAAAAGAGAAAAACATCTAAAATAAAACTAAATATCGATTACATAACTGAAATAACAAACATAGGTGTGAGCATCGTTTCAGTTGTAGTTAGTTATTCAAGGAAAAAAGAAAAGAAAAAAAGAGGAATAATAAGTGTAAGCATAAAGAAAACTTCAACAGTTGAGATCATGAGTCAATTGAAGCTCGACCATCATGGAATACCGTGAAGCATCGAACGGCCATTTCGTTCTATTGTAGGACTGTTCAGCAGTGCACATCCACGATCCTGCCTCACGGGACTCGAACCCATGACTTGTAAGTCTCGCACGCGAACGCTTAACCACTAGATCACTAAGTCTGCATCCAACGGTGTTAATGTCTAATTCCAATTAATCGACAAAATTGAGTGACATATCTATCATTGTCATTAGTGAGTTACTATCTCACAACGAACCCGATTGAACTCCATTGGTCACTACTGTTTCTCATTAGAACTTCTAATACATAAGGAGAATCTTATTCATTAATTGATTAGTTTTGTTTATTTAAAATAAATGCACTTTTGATACAAGTACTTGAATGAGTAAGTATCATTGAAAAACTTCGTTTTGAGGAGTTTTTTCCTCTTTTTTTTGTTTCTTAGGTTTCCATATTCATTCTTGTGGTTCTCTCTGTGTGTGTGTGTGTGTGTGTGCATAGACCTAATCGAAATTTGTTAGATAGTTGAATTCCATTCAATGAACTAACCAGCTAATGGATTGTAATACATTTCATCTTTGGATATATTTTCTTTGTATGAAAGAGATGAGACCATAAAGAAAAAAAAGGATATTTTGGATCATGATGTTGAACAAAAAAATAAAGAAGAAATGAAAGGATAAACAATCAAATGAGCGCCTTTGTGTGTGTATTGGCACGCATATTATTCAATGTACACTTATGTATATTGAACATTGACAATGATGATATGTATATCTATATAATTAGTTCATATGTAAATTGTACACATTGAGTGTTTACTCATTGAGATAAATGATGAATAAATGATTGAAAGACAATAGAAGGTTAAATTAGAATAATAATAATAATAAGTAAATAAGTAGTATATTGTTTGACCTAGAAAGAAAAGCAGAATAATAACAGAAAGGGGGTTTTGTGGAGATTGTAGTAATTTAATAGTTGAATTCATTAGTCGATTAAAACAAAACCACTATGGAAAACCTGAAACAACTGTAGTGGCTATTTCGTTCTAGTATGGAACTCGTGAACAGTGCATATCTGCGATTCGAAATAAGGAATTCAGATCTTGCGCACGAACGCTTAACCTTCAGACCAATGAGCCGGCATCCAACAGTATTAATGGCTAACAACAACAACCAATTCACGAAATTGAGTCACCATCCACTTGGGTTTGAATCCTGTGAGCGAGATCGTGAATGAGGACTGCAGAGGAGTCCCATATTAGGACGAAATGGCCGTCCAGTGCATCTAGGTTTTCCATGGTTGTTTAGCTTCACTCCTATTTCGAATCCATATCTTTCAACATCTAATTAAATGAACACTTGTTGCTATGTAATTGTCATAATATTTGATCAACTTCATTTTACTGTCCCTTTTACTGTTGGTCCTTTCAACTAATTCGTAAATGGAAATATCAATTCAAGCCTATTTCATTCACACTGGAATAATAAGTACGCTTCTCATTACACTTTCAACATGTAATGTTGACGTAATCGATTTCTTTTTAATCATTGACTCATAAACTAACATTCTTACTTAATTACTTAGGCGTTCTACCGCTCATCTAGGAGTATGAACCGCTGACACGGACTCTTCATCTAACTAAATACTTTCACAGATGTATATCATTACATTATTGTATATCGTTTGAGTGAAATCTGATAAAGATCTAACTGAGAACAATATTGTTTGCTTATATTGATGTTGTCCTGATTTTAATGGTGACGTTCAAAGTTCCACTGTTAGTTGCCAACCAAACTTGATTAGAAATTGTTGCTATGATTAGTGAAGCAGACAAAACACACATTCATACATCAAAGTGTAATCGATTAATTAATTAATCAATGCAGAGTAATTGTTCATGATTATCAGTCTGGTTTGTATACTAAGTTCATAGTGTTCAATGTATATTATGATGTACAACTAGTTGGTGTAGTGTTAACTATGTTGATAAAAATGTAATCTGATTCAATGAAGATTCAATGTGTAATCTGTTTATTGAGATTTCTGTTGTTGTTACTGTTGTTGTTGATGTTACAACATCACTGTGTGAGAAATGGACTATGAAAACCGGTTAAATCATGTTTAACTGTAGAAACGTGTTAGTCTGTGACCGTAACTAGACGTGATAAATCGTTCAGAGATCATCGGTTCTTATTATAATTACAAATACATCTTGTTATATCCCGATGAGAATAATGAATGATGACGTTTGTGAACTATTTCTGAACCGATACGATACTTGTTTCTGTTTATTGTATGATTGTTAAATAACTAAACTATCTGCATATTCATGTTCCTCCTTTTATAAGGCCTATTTTGACTTATGGATGATTATGATACGATTGATTGTTCTTCATTTATGTCCAGTCTATTCATTACAGTTTCGCACATTCACAACCACATTTGTCTAGATCTTGTACAAATGTGTATTTTGTATTTAATGGTATGATGTGATCTGTTTTGCTGGTGTACATTAACCCAGTATGTTTGAAATACATGATTGGTGTGTTGTAGGCTTTGGTTTGTGTTGTGGATTGAACAGGCAGTATTATGCAGGAAGCATGGTTGATAATGACTGTAGACTGCTCGTACTTCGTTTATGCGTCATTGGTCCCGTTTGTAAGTCATTGTTAGCGGTATGGTTACTTCATACATTGATAGGGTTCTGATAGCCTGTAATTTGTGTGAAACGGCGTTTGAAGCGAACGGCACTGGGTTCGAGTCTCGAAGTAAACATCAACTTTGAGATGCATGTACATCCAATTAATGAGCTTTGAACAGGACGAAATGCACGTTCTGGATTTCATTGCTAGTCGCTAACCAACTGTGCTAATTAGACAAGCAGTATGTAACAAAATATAGAATCATGTACGTTTGCTATTTCATTATGTTTGTGCAGTTGTATACACAAATTTACCTCATATCTGACTCCAATAAATAGTATCTCATTAACTGTGAATTTAATGCAGGCTAAATCTCCTAGTAGAATTATGGATTTACTCGAGATTATTCAAAAGCCTGAACGGCAGTTATAGAAATAGTTTATTGTTAAAGATT